GGCCGGCTTGTGAGACCCGAGGCGTTTGTACGCGGTCGGGCGCGGAGCGGAAAGCCACAGCCCTGCAGGGCTCTCCGAAGCCTGAAGAAGTTCATAAAACCGTGAAGTGCGGGGGCTTAGGCTGGAACTGCTGGGGAAGGAGGCGAGGAACTTCATTCCTGCCCAGTTGTTGGAGGAAGGCTCCACACCACGGGAAGAACATTTGATGCTGGTCACTGGGTTTATGATGTTCAACGCTGTTTTGAACGCTGGAGGGAAACCTGTAACTCCCAGTATTTAGATGTCCTTGCAAGGGATAATAAAGATAACGAAAGCGTTCCTTGGAAATCATGCATTTAGGTCTCTTCATTGTCTTGTCTGAAGCTAACTCTGCTCATTCTGTTCTTGTCTTGCCTAATATATTCTTCCTGGTTTTTTGGAGGGAGTTGTAATGGGGGCTATGCTTTTGTTATTATAACAGCTCAGATATTAAGGCAAATTATGCCCATGAGGCTACGTTTCTGTTTCAAATCTTACTGTAGTGTTGATGTGGCAACAAACAGGACAGTGTTAGTGTCTTCTGGTTTTGTTGTATAGTAGCAGAAGGAGGATCTGCTCCTGCGTAAAGGTCTTTTGAAGCAGGCAGAACTATTCTGGTTTGCTGTGTTGGTTTGGCATACTGATTAGCCATGGTACACAACGCAACTCTGAAATTTGCGTGAAGTTTTCCTTCAGGCAGCTGCAGGTGCTAAGCTCACAGAAGTCTTCTACTTAAGGGCTGTGCTGTTCTGATGGTAACATTATTTTGTTAATTCATATCCGTGCTTATTAGATTTATTCAGTTGATGACGATGAGACATCTCTGTCCAGTCTGGAGATTATCATGCCACGTGATTTGGCAGATGGGTTCGTCAATAATAAACGAGAGAGCTACAAGTTCAAGTAAGTAAAAGCCTTATCCTGCTATCTTCTGCCTTTAGTGATGGATATCCCTGTGTAGTGGTACAGATCTATAGAACCTGGAAAAGCCTATTCTTAAAATCAAGCTTTGTTACTAGTAGGTTTTTTTTTATTCAACTCCATTAAGAAAAGGAATACTCCAGCATATTATGGCCTGCACCTGAACAAGTTTGACAGCATTTGATAAAGTTGTGGGGTTTTTGTCTATCCATTGCAAGTCATCATACGTTTCTAAGTCTCATCTCAATTACCTTCATTTATCAATTGTTCCATTCTTATAGCTTGTTTTGAATTTATGTATGAAAATTGAATGCAGGTCTATGTGTTCTCTTGTGATCTAATGAGCTCTCGTAGGCTGGCTAAAGATGTGTTGACGTAAAACACTCTGTTTAGAAACTGTGTTTCAGACATAACCAAAACACGATGAAGAAAACCAGAGATTGTTGAAAGAAACAAAACCATGGTTGTAGAAAGTAAATAGTTTTTAGAAACTGAAAGTAAGTACCAGCAATATAAATCAAAAGTTTTTATCTTTTCAATAGAAAATTTGGAGGCAACTATTTAACATTTTGATGACAAGGAAAGCTAGATGTATAACCACCTTTAATGACTAGGTTGAGATTGTCTTTTTCCAAGCTGAGTAATCTTTATTTTCCATAATACCAAATCAAGTAAATTTGTTGCTCTATGATATTAAAAAATAGAGCCCCAGATAAACATCTACAGCTCAGACTGATGTCATTTTATATCAGCTAAGGAACTCTGCTCTGCCTGGGAAGGGAGGAGCTGCCCTCTCCAACTAGATTAATATGCAAAACTAACTTAGGTTGCAGATGCCCAAGCCAGTTGTAATGAATGTTGGTATTTTTTTCTGACTTTATCACTTATTAAAAGTCTGTAGAGGTGGATTTGGAGAAACTCTATGCCTTACTATTCTTAAGATGATGCTAAAATAATGCTATGGAACAAGCATTTATTTGTCCTCCATAAAACTTAGACTTTCATGCAGTCTGTCTATTCTCGTCACCTCAAACATTATTTTCCTTTGTTCTTACTTTCATATATGGGAATCACACAAATGTTTGAATGATTTGACTGATTAAGGGTTATCAGGATAGAATATATGCCTCTATACTTTGTGTATTGCATTTGTCTGTGATGTTGTACACACTGCATAATCTCTTGCAGTCCATGGTGCCTTTCTATATATCCTGTGAAGTCCTATGTGAGTATACAGTTCCAGATAGGAGGGACAACACAGCAGGGCACAAGTAGTCCAGGAGCTTGCTGGAGTGCATTAATGACAACTTCCTAACATATGGTTAAACAGCCGATGAGGGGAGAAGCTCTGCTGCACCTCATTTTCAAACATGGAAGAGCTGATCAGGGATGTGAAACCTGGGGCTAGTCTCAGGGAGCAGGCTCAGGTGACCCAGGAAGGCTGTCTCAGGTATGGGATCAGGAGAGCCTAGGTCAGTGCACAGTAAGGGATACTGAAAACGAGCTGAGCTGCTGGGCTCAGAGGGTTGTCATCAGGAGTACAAAGTCCAGTTGGAGGCCAGTTGCTAGTGATGTCACCAATACTGCAATCCAATACTTTTTAGCATTAATGACCTGGGTGATGAGACTGAGTGAAGCTTCAGCAGGTTCACAGACAATGTGAAACAAGGAGGGATGGCTGACACACCAGACAGTTGTGTTGACATTCATGGGGTCTTCAAGAGGCTGGAGAAATGGGCCAATAGGAGTCTCATGAAGCTCAACAAGGTGAAATGCCAAGTCCTGCTTCTGGTGAGGAATAACCAGGACAGGCTCAAGGTTGACTGAAAGTGGGTTTGCATAACAGGACCTGGAGTCCTAGTAGACAAAAAGTTGAACATGAGTCAGCAATACATCATTTGCAGCAAAGGCAGCCAATAGCCTCTGGGCTGCATTAGGCAGAGAGTTGCCAGCAGATCAAGGGAGTTCATCCTTCCCTTCTAGTTGCCACCAGTGAGATCACATTTGAAGTTCTGTGTCCAGTTCTGGGCTCCAGCAAAGGGACACAAAGATGATTAAAGGACTGAAGCATTTGACGTGAGGAGAGGCTGAGCAACCTTGGACTGTTTATCCTGGAGAAGGTTCAAGGGGATCTTATCAATGCATATAAACACCTGATGGGAAGGGGGAGAATAAAGAAGATGGAGCCAGATGCTTCTCAGTGGTGCCCAGTGACAGGACAAGGGTTAATGGGCACAAAATGAAATACAGGAAATACCAACAAAACTTTTTTACTGTGGGGTGATCAAATGCTGGAGCAGGTTGCCCAGAGATGTTGTGGAGCCTCCATGCATGGAGACAGTGAAAAACTGATTGTACAGACCCCTGCTTTAGCCAACCCTCCTTTGAACAGGGGGATTGGAGCAGATGGTCCCTTCCAACCTGAAGTATTCTTCGATTCTGTAAGACAACTGCAAATATTTTATATTGGAAATGACAAAACTTGTATTGAATTAAATATCTCCTTGTGACTTACAGTAGCTGTGCAGCAGAATGAAGGAAGTAGTTACAAAAAAAATGTGAGCCTGGCTATACTGGTGGGATGCTGTATATGGTTGTAGTGTAATCTATTTATCCAGGTTTCAGTGTGGTGCCAGTTACAAACACTGATTCTCTTGATAGATTTCAAATACGGTTTATTTTTTTCTAAGCCACATCATTTTATCAGAGGATTTTATTGTACAGATCTTGTCAAAGCAGCACTGTGTATAGCCTATTTATGTACAATAGCACAACAGCACGCTGTGGTTAAGACTACAGGGAAAACATTGTACTAAGTTATGTAAGCCTAATGATGTAAACATTGACTATTACAAACACAAACAAAAATGTATGAATCAAGTAGTGTTTTAAGATTCTGAGCAATTATTATTTTCTTAATATTTTCAGATTTCAGAGAATTTTTGATCAAGAGGCAAAACAAGATGTGATTTTTGACAGCATTGCCAAACCAGTAGCAGAATGGTACGTTGTTGATCTTGAGAGTCATCGGGGTAACACAGGATCAAAAATAGCTGTCATTGTATTACTTGGAGAAAAGCTGGCAAGTGTTTGTATCACTGTTGTAAAAGTGGATTGATGTTTTAATTTTCTAAATACTGACCTGTCTGAACCTAGGAGATATGCAAAAATCCCCTGACAATTTTATGCCTGTTAAGGTTCCATCATTAACTCCTGAAATAGCACTGCTACTGTTGCCCCTTTTGTTGCATAGGGATAAAAATCTAGTTAGGTTTTTCTCTATAGTATGATCTTACTTCATGGCATTAGAAAAGTATTTGTCATACAGTTCCGTGAAGGAGTAAACCTAACGAAAATCTTATCCCCCTTTAGTTTAGTTTTCATTAAGTTAGGGACACTTGTCAATTAAGACCTGTGGAGATACTCTCAAATTTTGCCCTCATTATTTTTGTCTTCATGTGTAGGGCAGTGACTTTGGCACTGTTTTTGTTTTTCTCCTTCATATAATAATCAAACAATGCTCATGTTTTAAAGTTTGCAATGGCAAGCATCTAAGACTGATGTGGAAGCCCTCTTCATTCATGGTGTGGATTGAATGCCACTCTGAACTGGACGGATTTTCCAATATGCCATTGTCTTTGCTTGATTTATGCCCACATTGCTGAAGTTAGTACTAGTTTTCATGGGGGAGAAGTTCACACACTGGGGGAAGCAGAATTTTTGCATGCTCTTTGTCCGTTTATCAAACTTACTGCTCAGAATACAAACTTGTAGTGAGTTGGGAAATACCACTTTAGGTACCAACTGTTCTCATTCATTGTCTGACCTATCCATTGGTTTAAGCTATGATTCCGCAAGTTATGCTTTAGCCTATTGCACTGCTACAGTTTTGCACTGCAGGAAAACAGACATTCTCATTTGGACACTTAGTCTTTCTCAAATTGTTACTTGGAAGTAAAAATATACCCAACTCTTCACAATTTCATTTTCTTGATTTTCAACTCTTATTTTCTTCTTAAAAGTCCTGCATAAACCAGGAAGGTAATTAACAATGAAAATGCAGAAAACTTCACTAGAATAAGTTAAATATGGTTTTAAAATAATGTATTATAGTCTTATTCATCCACAAGGGACTTCTTTGCTTGTCTGACTTTAAAACTTATAGCTTCAGGTTAATTCATTTACTTAACTTTTAAACATTTCTGAGTTTACTGGTGACTGCAGACAAAAACCTCTGTGTCTTATTTGACTATGTTTGGAAAATGAAAGGTTAAAACTCTTGTTGTTAGATGCTATGGATTGAATTATCCTCAACAAAAACTCAGAGTATCAAAGCTAACTAGCAACAGACTGACTGAGTTTTTTTCCTTTGAAGTATTTTGCTAGAATATGGAAAGGTTGTCCAGTTGCATAATTTACCCATAGAGTTCTCTAATAATCCGGAAGTGGTATTGTTTTGCTTTGTTTGTGTTGGCTAATACAAGATTTTTGTACATTGATTTGCTCCATTATGTAGAGTTTAATTCTGATTTTTAGAGATTTTTGTGTACTTAAATGTTTTTAAAATCAGCAGTGCTTAGGCATGCAATTATCTCCAAATAGCTGAGTCTTTGATGTTAAAAATCAGTTAAGAATGATTTAAAAAATCAATTGAGACTATTTTTACTTTGAGTGTTTTAACTTGTTAAAGCTTGTATTCTAATTGATGCTTTTATTGTTAATGATAATATTGAAGGATAATTTTGCTTGTGTTTTTATAGTAGAGTGGGCAATATCTGAAGTATGTTTCTGTTTCTCATCCTCTTAATTCATTTTTATCTTTTCTTTGGCAAAAATATGTGTTTCAAAATGTCTTCATAGTCATGAGGTTCCTTGGTGAATGGAGTCTATAACTGTGCCTGAAATTTATTTCACCCTGCAGTTAATGACTCAATATTCATTTCCATTGTGGGACAATAAGAATTGCCCTGTTACTCTGAAAGATCAGCCTTTAATAGCAAAATATTCTTCACTATTTGTTTCGTTCTAAGTCAACATTCTCTCGAAGGGAAAAACTGTTGAAAATGCAAATCATTTCTGTTGTTGGAGTCACTTTACTGAGGGAACAGTTTTTTGTCTGTGTATTGCCAGGGAAAAGAAAGTAGTAGGAAAGTATCAATAAAATAGTTCAATAACATTTTGAGCCTCTTTGCCGTGCATACTTCGTCATGAGAAAATTCAGTTAGACTTGAATGCTCAGAAAAAAAGTGTTGGGCATTGTTTAAACTAAAAACAGCAATGCAGTGTTCAACGTTCTAAAATCTTTCCAGTTTGTTCTTGGATGGGTGGAAATTGCATGCAACTTTTTTTCTTTTTTTTTTTCTTTTCCTTTTTAACTGTGCTTTCTTTGATGTTAGGCCACTACTTTTCTCTCTTTAAGTCCGTCTACACTGTCATCTTGCCTGTGGTTTCAGAGGCACCAGACATTAGTTCATTTAATTTGCTTCTTCAGTCAAAAGTACCAGCCTCTGCAAACCATTATAAGCAAGTGATTTGCTTGATTTTTTGTTTTAATTATTATTTTGTTAATGCTTCAGTCATCTCTTACTTCGTTTCTTTTTATTATTTGTTTGTGCTTTTCTCTTTTCCTTTTGATTTTGAATATATATATTTTAATTTTGTTTTTGTGTAGAGTCAACTTGATTTTTAAGAAGCAGCAGTAACTATGTTACTCTATGAAAAAACAGAAAATAACATCCTTCTTTTACAATTTGCTGACAATTAAGCATTGCTTTAGTCTAACAACAGAACAAGGTTACTCTTATAAAGCTTCAAATATTAATGTGATGATGAATGCAATCAGAAATTAAGTAGAAAATCTTAGTGCTTTGGAATTAGTTTTGCTTTCAGTTCTAATATGGCCAATGTTTTGTCTTGATTTATTAAAGAATAATGTTGAAAAAAATTTTCTCTTTCGATCTATCAAGGAAATAAGAAACAGCTCAGCTGTTTACAAACCTTATGGCAATCGCCTGTGTTTTTCTGAAGAATCTGATAGCCTCCAGGATAATACTCACATTTCTGCAGATTTTAGTTTCTTCTCGAGTGGTGTATTTATCCTAAGAATTAGCATCTGTAAAGTACAAACTACTTCCCTTTACTCTTTAATGTTTTTTTTTCTGCAGCTTATTCTTACAGAAAATGTAGTCAAAATATTTTGCAGAACAGCGTCATTGTAATGTTGACTATATTTTGTAGTGTCCCTCATTCCAGTTGTAGAAAATATTTCACCAGCGATTGAAAATGTTTGGAAAATATATTTACATCATTAGATTGCCTTGTAATACAAAGCCACAGGGTGTAGACTAAACATCCTAATAGTACATTTCTAGCTTTACTGAATACGCTTATAGAAATCCAGTGACCATCCTTTCTTTTTCTGCTATTACTTTTTTTTCTTTCTGTTTAAGTCTGTGAATAAGATGATATAATCAAAATATTTGGGCTTGCTGTTTTGTGGTTTGTTTAGGGGTTTGGTTTTTTCTCTCTCGCTAACAACTTAGGGATTTCTGTTTACTATGTGTTCAAGGAAAATCACATATCTACGAGTTTCTTCAAACTAATGAAATTTCAGGAGTTTGTAAAGGGATGCTGATTTTCTCTCAAATTGTGCTCTCCTTCTGACCATCTAAGCTAGAGTAATGCTGAATGTGCTTTACGTTCACTGACTTCAGTAGGATTGTGGATTAACAATCGCTCTGAAATAGGAACTGTTAGATAAGAAATTGCTTGAAACGTGAGATCTGAATTAGTTTACAAGGTTACGTAATAAATAATTTTATTTATTACTAATAAAAGGTTACAAATAAATTATGACCTGTTTTTGATCATAGAGTAAAAGAAATGGAGAGATTCTTAAAAATTTTAGACTCCTATTTCTAAATTTTTTTTGTGGTGGTTCTTTACTTTTAAAGCTAATTATTAGGGACAGGTAAAAGTCATACCTTTACATCTTTTCTATGTTGTGGGAGGCCCTTATCATATGCAATTCCTTTGTATAAATTTATCCTAACAAGAAGAATGTGGAATTAGTGGCGCTATTCTTTTGATAGTAATTATTCTGCAGACTTTGTCATGCTTTGAAATTTATATTTTCCTTGTGGTGTAGACATTAAATTGTGAAAAAAGAAAAATAAAATCCATATACCTGAAATCTTATGATTATTTGATTTTTACATGGGGAAATATGTAGCTCTTTTAGCTTTGTCATGGGTCTTCGAGAACCTCCTTAATTTAAATTCTTGTATGAAATTATTACACAGACTTTGACTTCATGCGAATGTTTGGCATTTGGGGAAAAGATCATTATCGTGCAACTGGAATTCGAGATTATTTTTTTTTTAGTTCACTTTATTTTTACTTTCACATAAGAAGATTTTTTTTTTTTGAGTATTTAACAGTGTAATTATAAGTGTACAACATGTTAGATGTTTAAAATAGTTTTAATAACATTAGTTGTAAGAGTACAAAATGTCTTCAGGAAAATTTCAAACTACAACAGCAGGAAATATATACGACAGGAGAACAGAAAAGTCAGCCATGATTATTTATTCATTATGTAATAGCCAGAATCCACCACTAAATTGGTTATTTGTTGTTTTGCATCTCAGAAAAGCTAAGAGTTATTTTCCACTCTAAAGGAGTTGCACCTCAAAAGTATATAGAATTCACCCCTGTGAGGTGTCAAATAAAGCAGGTTTTTAATGAGGAGACCTGAAACGGGTACAGGTTCCTTATCTGTATCTCTCTGCTTCAGTGAGGAAATAATCTAAATTAGTTTCCTTTGAGCATGTGCTAAATTTTCATTCTTACTTGGACTCATCTTACCTGGGCATTCCAAAAGTCTTGCTTATATCTGTGTATCTTCCTATGTTTGTGTCACGTATAGGAAGCTGTTTCTCCACACTTCTTGCCCACATTTCCTCCCCCTCTGCCCTTCGTTTCTTTTTAGGCTTGTTTAGTGG